CCTCACCCACCCCCCACTTCCCACCTCTGGCTACCCCCAACCTGTTCTTTTTACCTGTGCTTTTCTTTTCTTTTCCAATTCCACATTTCCGTCAAGATTCTATCACTGGATCACATGGTGGTTCTATTTTTAATTTTTGGAGGAACCTCCACATCATTTTCCATAGTGACAGCACCAGTTCACATTCCCACCAACAGTGCAGGAGGGTTCCCTTTTCTCCATATTATCACCACCGTACTTGTTATATTATCTTTTTGATGATAGCCATCCTAACAGGTGTGAGGTGATATCTCATTGGGGTTTTGATTTGCATTTCCCTGATGGTTAGTGATGTTGAGCGCCTTTTCATATACCTGTTGGCCATCTGTATGTCATCTTTGGAAAAATGTCTATTCAGGTCTTCTTCCCATTTGTTCATTGGACTGTTTGGTTTTTTGCTATTAAGCTGTAAGAGTTCTTTATATATTTTGGAAATTAACTCATCCTATACAAGCATATCTCATTTTATTGTGCTTTTCATTTTATTGCACTTTGCAGATGTGTTTTTCACAAATTGAAGGTTTGTGGCAGCCCTGCCTTGAGCAGGTCTATTGGCACCATTTTTCTAACATTGCTCGCTTCGTGTCTTTGTGTTACATTCTGCTTATTCTCGCAATCTTTCAAACTTTTTCATTACATTTGCTACGGTGATCTGGGATCAGTGATCTTCGTTACTATTGTGACTCTCTGAAGGGTCAGATGATGGTTAGCATTTTTCAGCAATCAAGTATTTGTTAATTAAGGTATGTACATTGATTTTATAAGACAATGCTTTTGCACACTTAATAGACTACAGTTTAGTGTAAACACAACTTTTATATGCACTGGGAAACCAAAAAGTTCATGTGACTTGCTTTATTGCAGTAGTCTGAAAACAAACCTGCAGTATCTCTGATGTACGCCTGTATATGACTTGCAAAGATTTTCTCCCACTTGGCAGGTTGCCTTTTCATTTTGTTGATGGTTTCCTTTGCTGTGCAGAAGCTTTTTAGTTTGATGTAGTCTCACTTGTTTACTCTGGGTTTTCTTGTGTTTGCTTTTGGTGTCAAATCCAAAAATGCATTGCCAAGACGAATGTCAAGGAGCTTACCACCTTTGCTTTTCTCTAGGAGTTTTATGGTTTCAGGATATACATTAAGGCCTTTAATCCATTTTGTGAGCTGATTTTCGTGTATGGTGTAAGACAGTGGTCCAGTTTCACTCTTTTGCACATGGCTGTCGTTTTCACCCAGCACAGTTTATTGAAGAGACTGTCCTTTTCCCCACTGTATATTCTCGGCTCCTTTGTCATAAATTAATTGGCCATATATGCATGGGCTTACTTCTGGGCTCTTCTAGTCTGTTCCGCCGATCTATGGATCTGTTTTTACGCCAGTACCATACTATTTTATTATAGTTTTGTGATATAGTTTGAAGTCAGGAAGCATGATTCCTCCAGCTTTGTTCTTCTTTCTCAAGATTGCTTTGGCTGTTTGGGGTCTTTTGTGATTCCATACAAAGTTTAGGATTGTTCTGTATCTGTGAAAAATGCCGTTAGATTTTTGATAGTAATTGCAATAAATCTGTAGATCACTTGGGTGTGGACATTTTGACAATATTAATTCTTCCAGTCCATGAGCGTGGAATACCTGTTTATTTGTGTCTTCAGTTTCTTTCATCAGTGTCCTACAGTTTTCAGAGTACAGGTCTTTCACCTCCTTGGTTTTATTTATTCCTAGGTATTCTTTTCTTTTTGATGCAATTTGTAAATGATATTGTTTTCTTCCTTCCTCTTTCTGATAGTTCATTATTAGTGTATAGGAATGCAACAGATTTTTGTAAGCTAATTTTGTATCCTGCAACTTTACTGAATTTGTTTATTAGTTCTAACGGTCTTTTGGTGGAGTCTTTAAGAGTTTTCTATACATACTATCATGTCATCTACAAACAGTGAGAGTTTTACTTCCTTTCCAATTTATACGCCTTTTATTTGTTTCTTGCCAAATTGCTCTGGCTAGGACTTTCAATACTATGTTGAAAGAAGTGGTGAGAGTGGGCATCCCTGTGTCGTTCCTGATCTTAGAGGAAAAGCTTTCAGCATTTCCATTGAGTGTGGTGTTGGCCGTAGACTAATCAAATTTCTTAATGCTTACAATAAATATTAACTTAGATCGGAACTTGACTGTTGGGGATCAGTGGCTGTGAAAACATTTATAGGGCACAAAGAAGCAAGGTTATATTGGAATAAAATTTTAAGGAGCATGAGAAAAGAGAGCAAGTAAGAGTGTCAGTAATGTTTTAGAACACTATTATGAATGATTTCTAAAACTGTTGTTTAAGGAAATTCCAATATATATGAAGTAAAGAATGTTATAGGAAACCTCAGGTACTCATCACCTAGTTTCAACTATCATCTATTCATGGCCAATCTTGTTTCATTTCCAGTCTTCCCCCTGCCTTCCTCTCGTGTCTCTGAATTATTTTGAAGCTAATCCCAGACATCACATGATGTTATCTGTAAATGTTTCAGTATGTATTTCTAAACATTGAAGACTCTTTTTATTTAAACCATATCGCCATTATCGCCAGACCTTAACAGTACATCCCAAATATCAGGTTGCCACTCAGCCATGTATCATTTCCCAACTGTCATGTATTATACATACACACACATACATCTTTATATATATAAACATTTTATCCACTTACTTTATGCATTATCAATATATCAATTACTATTTGTTTGAATCAGAATCCACATAAAGTCCATACATTGCGAATGTTTCCTAGGTCCTTAAATCTCTTAATCTCGTTTTCCATAGATCTTTTTTATTTCCTCGTAGTTTTTTGAAGAAACTGGGTCACTTATTCTGCAGGGTTTTCAGAGAGTGAATTTTGCTAACTGCATTACACGGGCGTAGTTTATATATAATTGTCTGTTCCCTGTATTTCTTATAAACTGATAGATCCAGCAGCTTAACGGGTTTGTTTTTTTCTTTTAGCAAAACTATGTCATGGGTGGTAATGTGACCAAATATTATTTTAAAGCCAGTATCTCAAGTGGTTTGGGCCCTGATTTTAAAGACACCCAGGTTAAATGAAAGGCCTCTAGTCATAACATATTGTGAGGCAGACAATAGTGACTTGCCTTTTCTGGAATAATGTACTAGTTAAAATTATCTCCAGGAATCTTCGGCATGGATGCAAATGCATAAGAGGAATTAAATGGTATTCTGTAGGTCTAGGAATCTCATGGAATTGGCCCTTCATGACTGCGGTGGGCACTGTAAAATACATATAATGCTTTATAGACCTATGATGTCTAGTAAAGTAGTTTCTGGCTATTTAACTCTTATTTAAATTAAATTTCAAAAATTTATTCATTCATTCACATGTGCTACACTTCAGGAGCTCCACAGGCATATGAGGGTTGTGGCTACCGTACTGGACAGCAGTGGTACAGAAATGGAGAAGCAGATGAACTGCATGAAATTTCTTTGGCATTCAAGTAGATTTTTGGATGTTTATATAGTTTGTATTCCTGTAATGCTGACTCTAATATATAACCGCCCTTTTAAAGCATGAATGTTACAGGGCTGTTCTTTTGTTGGTGGGAAATATGAGAAGTGTGTTTTTGGACGAGTTTGTTGTAACACTCTTAAAATCTCTCCTGTTTTCTGTTGTAGTTCAGCTTGGTAATAAGCATCTCTAGACTCTATGAATCATCTCCAGAAGGCGTACCAATAGGTGGCATATAAACACAGATAAGCCCGTGCAGTGACAGGAAGGCTGGTGATGGGTGCTAGGCTAGAGTGGTCAGAAACAAACACAGGGAAGACCTCTCTTCAAGTTTCTATTTCACAACATTTTAATGAAATGACTTCATGGAGTGAAGTTTTATAGCACCAAAAACACGTCAGCACAGAGCCAGAAACGTTGACTCTCATAGACATCGTGTTAGATGTCTGGTTGAGAGAGGAATTCCCTAAATGCTAGAGGTATTGTGAAGGAACGGCTCTCTCCAAAGGACACCTGTTACCAGCTCTCTTACCTGTAGACAGCAACCTCACCTACCTGAGTACCGTTTTACTTTGTCTCAATCTGGTTTAAAAATGCTGTAAAGTAATCAATCAAACTCTGCTTAACCTTTTACAGCGGAAGTTCAGAGTGAAATTGAAAGGATTTTTGAACTTGCAAGAACATTGCAACTGGTGGTCCTTGATGCAGATACTATTAATCATCCAGCCCAACTCAGTAAAACCTCTCTGGCCCCTATTATAGTGTATGTCAAGATTTCTTCTCCTAAGGTAAGTAGGGTTGTTTGTTACTGTTTGCTCTGTAATGGAACTTTTACTAGAATGTGTATCTATAGTCTGCTTTCCAGTTACAAACGGGCTGTGTCTTCATCCATCACAAAGGGTCTGAAGAGAGACGTGGTGGCCGAGAATTGTTACGATCCATATAAGCAAAAGCATGATGAGTTTCATGGCTTAGGGGAGTGAGTGATTCCCAAAGTGTGGTCCGTGGATCCCTGGTGGGGGAGGTTCTGAAACACTTTTTAGAGGGTCCATGAGGTCAGAACCATTTCCATGATTATTATCTAAGCATTATCTAATACTCAGACATCCTCCCCCTTTTTCACTGGTTTGACCTTTGCACCAATGGTGCAGAAGCAGCGCTGGGTGATGTCTAAGCAGGAATCAAGGCCACAGTAGCAAGAGCAGCTGTGGCATTCTCCCTCCCCATGCACTCCCAGGTTAAAAAAAAAAAAAAAAGCCACAACCCAGTTTCACTTAAGAATGTCCTGATGAAGTAGTAAAAAATGCTTAAATTTTGACTCTTCAGTACAAACCTTTTTAATATTCTATGTAACGAAATGGGAAGTACACTTCAAGTTCTTTAGCTACGTGCTCGAAGTCCGTTTTCTTGAGGGCAGGTACCAGTGTGATTCTTCAAGTCATAAACCAAAGTAGCCACTTTCATCCTGGAACGCCATTTTTATTGGAAAGAACAACTGACATGTCCTTCAAATTTCAGGACAGATCAATGGAATTTAATGTAACAGAGTAAGAAAAGTTCATTGATTGATAGGGATTTAGATTTCACATGAGAGCTAGTCTTTAAAAAGCTACCACTTGTTTACTGTAGTATCAAAGAAAGATATCCACAATTATCTGAAAAGGCTACTAATTACGTATCTATAGGGGACTGGATTTTCTTTGCCTGTTTCAAACAATACACTGTAGCAGATTCACTGTAGAAGCAGGGCACATCAGCTGTCTTCTGTGGAGCCAGGCAGTAGAGAAACCTGCAAATAACTTAGCTATTTTATCAGAATGCATGACATGTTAACATATAAGAGGTTACTGGTCATTCTTAAATGAATTTTTCAGTTTTAGTTTCTAATATATAACTATTACAGTACACATAAAAAGCTCTTGGGAGTTCTCCACAGTTTTTAAAAACATAAATCATGAGACAAAGTTTGAGAACTGCTAGCCTTGAAAAAAGACAAGACTCAGAAAAATCTCCACGCTGGTGACTTATGAAGCTTGTGACTGAGATTTATGTCAACGTGTTAATTTTGCTGATCATCTTGAAGATTCTGTTTTCTAGCGTAATCTATTTGTAAACCATCAGTGCTGCATGCAAGGACACCAGAGAAAGGAACGAATAATGAACCTTGTTTACCTGAGTGCAGATACCCCAATTGAAGAATCTCGTCTTTTACAGGTTTTACAAAGGTTAATAAAATCTCGAGGGAAATCTCAAGCTAAACACCTCAATGTTCAGATGGTAGCAGCAGATAAGCTGGCTCAGTGCCCTCCGGTAAGTCTCTCTATGCAGTATAATCCACTTGAAGGCTTCACACCCGCATTCTGTTAACAAAAACCAGATGGACAGGTAAACGCCTGTCCAGGGAGAGAACCCTGCCCATTAACAGTGGGTTTCCTCCCAAAGACGGGAATGGTCTACCTCTTACCAAGAGCACTTGTCTAGGTCATGGTCGTCGCTTACGAACAGCTACGGTGTGTTCCGTGGTGACCTCGCTTTGTTAATCTAACACCTCAGTAGTCATCTGTGTTTCACCTTTAATGAAACACAATCATTGTTTCAAAACTTTGGTTGAAAAGACGGCTGTTTGGGGTTGGTTTATTATTCACTTCTACTCAGGGAGCGAGTTGCTGGCTCTTCATTACCGTCTAAGAAATTGATCTGAGACCATTTCTAAAGGACTCAGTAACCAGATTCTGACACCTGAACACATCCCTACCTCGAATCCCCTGCTTTGCATACCATGCTTTGGGCCTGTATGCTTCCGGCTTTTGTTCTGGCTTTGTTTTTTTTAAATGAAGGTATATCAGAAGCCTTAAGAACTGGGATCAGACCCACTTATAATTACCGGGAGTACATTACATTTGTAGGAACTCTGAACTATTCTGAAGTCTGGGCCACATCCAGTCAGTAGTGGCTTCGGCTTCCTCACATCCTCACCTCGCCTCAGTCGTTTCCAAGGTTCAGCTTTTCATAGTCTCTGGCTTATATTCTCATTTTCTTTTGTACATCTCGCCCCTAACATAGGATCAATTCCTTTCAGGCAACTTTTCTCTGGTGCCCCTAACAACTGTTATCACACCTGTTCACGCCTGGTCACTCACACAGCAAAGCAGTGAGGCCATAGCGGGCGGTCAGCCCCTGCGAAGAGAGGAGCCCGTCGCCACGGCAGGGATGCAGCACGCAGCCCTCGGGCGCCCTCCGTGCTCCTGGCATGCAGGAGGCCCAGGGGCAGCACGGCCAAGGCGCCCTGGCCGCTGTACGCATGCCATCTGTACCGTCTGCCCCTGCAGGAGCTGTTCGATGTGATTCTGGACGAGAACCAGCTCGAGGACGCCTGCGAGCACCTCGCCGACTACCTGGAGGCCTACTGGAAGGCCACCCACCCGCCCTGCAGCAGTGTCCCCGACCCTCTCCTCAGCCGTACCTTGGCCACCTCGACCCTGCCCATCAGCCCCGCTGTGGCCCCCAGCTCACAGGTTAGCAGCGCTCCCTCCTTCGCTCGCGCCACTGGGGTCCAGGGGTCCAGGGCTCCGGGGCCGTGCTCGTTCCAGTTGGGCAGCCCTGTCCAGAATGAGATGGAACACCGAGTCCCTTAAGTGTCTCCAGCGTGAGCTGTGCGCCTGTAAGAGGAGTGTAAACAGCCTCCTATGAAGTACCGTAAGTCCCCCATATACGAACGAGTTCCGTTCCAAGAAGGCATTCGTAAGTCCAGCAGTTAGCCTAGGCTGCCCACTAACACAATCGGCTATATAGCACTGTACCGTGACAGGTTTATTATACTTTGCACACAAATAATACAGAAGAAACAAACAAAAGATCAAACATTTTTAACCTTACAGTACAGTCCCTTGGAAAAGGACAGTCGTACCCGCTAGGTCACCACTGCTTTTACGCTCGCTTCCGACCATCCTGGGCTTGAAATAAAGATACTGTACCACCGTACCCTATACGGTAAAGAACACAAAAGCACAACCACTTGTAGAGGATGCACGCACATGACAGCGTACGCCAAATGATCTAACTTACGTGATTTGACACGCGGAGCTATGTTTGCATCTTTTGGAAGTGCACAACCTGAAGGTCCGTATGTAGGGGACTTACTGTGTTATAAACCGTAAAATCCACTCTCCCCATATTCTGTTAGGGCCAGGACAGAGGAACTTTCTATGTGGCCAGCAGCACAGACTGTGGACTCAGACTACCTGGGTTCAATTCCTTCTCCTCTCCACCCCTTCCCAGGGGTTTAATCTTGGATAAAATCCTTACCTGCCCTTTGCCTCAGGAATACTAATGACCCTGCCTCGTGGGGCTGTCATGTGACTTTTCTCATGAGATTGGCTTACAGGGTGGTTGTATTTAATCAGTCAGTATACATGACAGTCTCACAACACTGCTGGCCTCGTATTAAGTGCCGTTTAAGCATTTGACATTTTATCATTTTCTTCCCTTAAAGCCAACATCCTAAGCATTTTTAATCTTCCCACCTGTATCCGAGCAGAGGTGGTTAAGTGTCCACCCATGTGTAGACAGATCTCAGGGACCTATATCTATATTTGAACCACAAGAGAAGATATAAAAGAATGCCCTCCCTCCTTCATGCATTCATTTTTTAAAAATTTGTAAAGTTACTCTGTGCTGTTCTAGGCGCTTACAAATTAACAGAAAGTCCAATACAATAGAAACGCTACTGGATGTTATCGAACACATTAAGCAACCGAGCTAGGTCAGATTTCATTTCAGCACTTTAGAGACTCTGAAAAGGGACTAGACTTGTATGGACTTGCCTTTGTGACAGTTCCCCAGACCCCGACCTTGGCTGAGGCCTGTGTTTGCTCCTTCACCTCCAGGCTTCTCAAGGGGATCCAAGGACCGATCGTGCGGCTGCCACCCATTCTGCTTCCCAAGCTGAAGAAGAACCCTGCCCAGACCCAGTCAAGAAACCCCAGCACCACAGCCATCGCAGTGGGGCCAGCCGAGGCCTCTCCAGGCAGGAGACCTTGGATTCAGAAACGCAGGAGAGTCGCGACTCCGCGTACGCAGAGCCCAAGGAAGATTATTCCCACGAACATGCAGACCACTGTGCCCCGCACCGAGATCACAGCCACAGAGAGGAACCCCACGGGGGTGGGGAACGCAGACACAGGGAGTCTCGGCACCGCTCCCGGGACCCGGATCGAGAGCAGGACCACAACGAGGGCGATAAACAGTGGAGCCGCCACAAATCCAAGGATCGCTACTGTGACAGGGAGGGGGAAGGGGTGTCCAGGAGACGGCATGAGGCTGGGGACTGGAACAGGGAGGTTTACATCCGCCAGTGACTTTTGCCCTTTTGTGTCGTTGGTTTTCTTATTTTTAAGTAAGTCTTGTATACCACCACCCTCCAACTCAATCTTGGGGGTCTACATTGCAATCATGTGTGATCTGTCTTGTATATTTTGTACTGCTGTTGCTTGGATAGCAACAGCATGAAATAGAGTATTAATATACTTTTTATTTTCCTTTTGTAAGTAAGTGCTATATAAATTCGCCTGGAAAGGCTGCAGTCCTCTGGTTGTCTACTGCACTTTGAAAACCGTCTAGGGTCGCTGCCACTTGAACAGTATCAGCTGTTGCCATCCAGGTGGCATCAGGATTTTAAGAAGCATAGCTGATGTTTTCGAAAACGTGGCTGATGTATCCAGCAGGCCAGAATCAAGCGGCCCACGTAAAAAGTGGAATTTCTTGGTTCTCCCGATCTTTAATATGTAGGCGCCTGGTTTGCATAGTCATCCGTGGACCACTGTTTCTCGCTTGTACCTCTGGCTGACTGACTAATCTTGGGGACAGACTGTCTTGCCTTACACCAAGGGGATCAAAGTCAGAATCTATTTTCTATGTACTAGCATTGTGTACTGTATAGACAGTTTGTAAATGTTACTTCTGCAAACACCTTCTTATGATAATTATATAATTATTTGATTGATATATATACATATATATATATATATATGTATATATATATATCAGTTTGATCACACTATTTCAGAGTCTTAATGCCAAGCCAGCAGATTTGCTTTCTGAATTACAGGGACTAGAAATGCCCACCTTCAGGAAATTTGTAATAATGTCATCTAGACACCTATTCCCGTTCTAGTAGAGAGTCTGTACATACTGTAAATACGTGTGACTGCCTGACTTGAAAAGGTTTGATTTCTGAATGTTCCTCCATCCCTGTACGTTAATCATTGTGACCATAAATTCTGGGAAATATAACCAAACTCCAAGGGTTGCTCCGCTCCGTGCCGTTCACACTGATTGTGACGGCCACGTCCTGCGTAGCCAGTGTCTCAGGTCACGGCACAGGAGTCTGGGAGCCGCGTGCACACGAGCCAGTGACGGGCGTGCACGCTGACGACAGTGGCGGCCAGCCCGGGGCCGAGGCGTCCACCCGCCTGGCTCCGCGGCTCGCTGCGCCGCTGTGGCCCGCCGAGCCGTCAGGGGCCAGGAGGGCACGCGCCGCCAGAGGGGACGCCCCGGAGAGCTGCCCCTCGCTGGCTCCTGGAGAGGGGCCACACGGGCCACTGTGATGAGTGTTTCACTGGAAATGTCCGACGACCTCTCGTCTGAGAGAGAAGCGTTTACACAGATGCTCCCGACTCCCCCCCATCTCCTCACCTCGCCTCGCCCGCCGTGCCCGTTGTGTTCCCCCCGCTCCGACACTTTCACTGTCCGTCACAACCTCAAAGTGCTTCTTATAACCAAAGCTTCTGCTCTTCGCAAGAAATCAGGGCAAAAGGAGGTGACTTGAAGTGAACGAGACGTTGAGGTTTTCCTGCGTCGGACACCTGCTCTGAGGGGAAGCCAGGAGATGCTGTGGCCCTGCGTCAGGGACACCGCCCAACGCGGCCCATGAGGTGGTGGTCACGCTGAGCCTGAAACCTTCCCTGTCTCTCCTAAGTGTCCGTCTGTCCAGTTAAGACTGGACAGGTAAGACAGACAGTATTAGGCATGCAAGTACCTGGCACTTGAAGTCTGTCCCTGGAAAACGCCTGTCTTGATTGCCTACCTTCAGACCTGGACATTAAAAATTATTATTTTGTTAAATAAGTTAAGCTATTTTTTGTTTTGCTTCTTTGATTATTCCAGGTTCTTGCCAAATATATCTTGGACCTTTATAAGTACAACTGTTTCACATCTAACTCCTTATTCCTCTCCCCCAAAGAAAACTCAGAGTTGTAAAAATGAGTTAACATATATAGTGTTTTATCAGCTAATATAGGAACCATTTCCCTCAATCTCTTTGTTAATTAGTTCTGTACTGTTGACATACCTTTATTTATTGAATATAAAAACAGTAGTCATAATATATAAATTTTTGATGTAAAATATTCACATCATTGGGAAACCGTATTCCAACTAAAGTTACTTTTATAAAATACTTCCAGTCAGCTGTCCATCACAGTACCACGTCAATGATCGCCAGCGCCGACCCTTCCTATACGAAGTTTCATCCCAGTTCATGGCTTTGGAATGTGTAAATTCTTGAAGTCTAACTGGTATGTATCTTCTTTGCTGCTACCATTAATCCCTTTCAAAGAATCACGCTAACGGATTCCATTTTTTAAATTCTGACCTGGACTCTTCGTTTCTCACTTTACTGTGAAACACACTAGTCCAAATCAGAGTATTCCGCAAAATCTCTGTTGCAGGATTTGACAAAAGAGCACGCTCATGTGAAAACTGTAGAGTGGGCATATGTGTAAACGGTGTGGACTAAATATGTAACTGAAGAAATAATCCCAAGGACAATGGGATATTCACTGACTTGTGGAATGTAAAATTCTAGTCTTTTCACACAGCAAAGGTTTAATCTTAACAGACTCAGTTGTAGAATCATGATTGTTGTAGTTAACCTAGAAAATGCTGGAAAAGTTTTGAATAGTTCTGTGTCTTTCTCATCACACCCATTTCAGCCTTTCCTCTGCTCTTTCTCTACTGCTCACTTAAGTTACTGTTACAAAAAGGTGCTGCTAAACGTAGGATGTCTTAGTTATTCTGTACTTTGGGACAATGCCACATTTTAACATGGTCTGCTCTGCATTCATGTTAAACCTTCAACTGTCAGCTATACTGAACTGTTCAACAAGCCTGGTTTAAAGTCATTCATTCATAGCAAACAAAGAGCTGGCTTCTGCACTGTCTACTATTAGTCGTATTAAGTGCCATTTTAGGAATGATTCTTACAGCTGAAAGTACGTTAAATACTCACCTGCACTTCGCGTGTGTGGCGCATCATCCTGGGGGGTGCTGCCCATCACTGATGGGCTGTGGTCATCTCCCCACGACACCTGAAAAGTGACAGCTTCCGGCAAGTCAAAGGCCTCTGAAGGCCTGAGCACGGCAAAGCCAACTTTCTCCACCTTCATCCTATATGGTCTGCAATTCTTGCCTCCGATTTTGAACTGTACTTTTCCTTTCTAAAATAAACTTGTCATCAGAATGGATCTTCAGTTCCTCGCCCTTTGCTCAGTGACACAATGCTGCTACTCCTGGATAATCTTACTAACACGTCAAGAGTCATGCTGTTGGAGAAAACAGGCAATCAGAGGGCTCTGGGTCAGTTGTTGAATCGTGTTATATTTTTAACTATTTGTACTTTACTGTTTAAAATGTGATACACGGTTTTGAAGTAAAATGTACTCACTGTTGAATTAAAATGCTTCTGTTTCACAGATACAACTATGGTAACATTAAATATGTTAAAAGAGAATATATTCATTCTCTTCCACATTTCCCTGATTTTTGTCCTTTTATCATATTCTTTCTTATATGTCTGTGTTCCTTAAGATTGAATGTTTTATTTTCCAATTTGTTTTATTTTTTGAAAGAAAAAAACCCACTGAAAAATGTCTATGTTAAAGAAACAAATTTTAACAATATTTTTTATTTGTCCTTACTGTTTTCAATATGCAAATATTTTTCTTTTGTTTTGCCTGCATTGCTTGTATTTTGATATTTATTGGTATTAATCAAAACTTTACACATTTGCTACTAGGCTCCTTCCCTACCATTTCCATCCCAGCCTAGCACCTAAGGCTCTGCAGAGAGCATGAGAAGGGATGGATTTTGTGTATTTTTCAAAAACATATTGAAAGTTCAAGGAAGTATGCCGAGCCCTAGAAGCAGAAGCACCACAGGTCAACAGTGTTTCTCTTTAGGCAGATGACATCTACTGGCTATCAGGCAGAATGAGGGACGGAAAGGAGTCAGTCACATGTTCGAATCTTAGGGAGCCTGATGGGGTTTTTCCCTCGTTCGATAAGCGTGTAACAATGATCTGCTCTGAAGCTGTACAGAAAGCACAGTCCTGCCTCCAGAATGTTCCCAAGCCTGGGGGCAGCGGTCCAGGGCATGCCTCGTACACTAGAGTGATGTGTCAAGTGCCGTGACAGGAGGAGACAGAGGTACGAGGGGTGTAGAGAGAGACATGCCCGACCCAGCCCCCGAGAAGGGTGTGCAAGAAAGGCTTCCTCAGAGCAGAGGCCTCTGAAGATCTCACCTGATCCGAGATGAGATGAGCATTCTTCATGGATACAAGGAAGTTTCAAGAAATTCCTAATGGAGACCTATGAAGGAAAAAATATATATATTAGGCAGTTGTCCGAGGCTCAGGAATTTTGAGGTGATTTGAATTAACAAGATAGATGTATTTAACACAACATGAGAGAGCTTTTAAACTATGGCTGGGTATTTTAATATATTTTATCTAAAAAGCAGGTAGAATGAAAAGCAAGCCTACAGTTACAGTTCATCTTAAAAAGGCCGCCCACTTATACTGGCCACCATGGGTGACGTTTGGTCACTTCTGCAGTTTGGGGGATTTCAGGTCTGATGGTGAAGTGGTCTTGTTTCGTCTTGACCTAGTCACAGTTGCTTGGTCTGGGGAAGGTGTTCTGTGGAGCTGCTTCTGTTCAGAGGGAGAACACCAAGGCTTAGCTGTGAGTGCCTGGCCACTTCCCAGCTCTCACAAGACGGTTTTCTCACCAATCACGTCTCTAGGAACTTGTATGTATTCCATTAGATGATAAAAGGTACCCGAATTGTGCAACAGTCTCATTTTTAATCTACAGAGTTAAAAAAAATTCATTTTAGGTTTTAGTTTAAAATATGACAGAAGAAAAAACGTCAACATAGTGAAGGGAGACTGTTATTGGGAGTAGTCCAGAATTCATTTGAAAGAGGGTTGATTTACCAAATAGTAAACAGAAAAAGTCAGGTAAAATCCCCAGCTACGTTCCTGGCACTTGATAAATAAGTTATAGTTCCCACACCCTGAATTCTGAAGGAACTCAATAACGGAAAACGTGTTTTATAACCAAATTAAATACCACTAATTTTATTCCTTTTGTTAAATCCACTTATTTTAACATTAAAAATGACTTGCATTCTTTACAAATTAAAACAAAGACCCCAAATGAAAATATGTTCCAGACATCTTCAGGCATCTCCTTTTCTTTATACTCTGCTAAATCCATAAAGGAACAGTATTTTAGACACACAAGTGCCCCCCTCCACCCCCGGCTACTTCCTGTGTGAAGTACAGTCTCTTGATTCCTGGTGGAACAGCCGGCAGCCTTTTCTGTTTCCTCAGCAACCACGGCATCAATCACGTGGCCTGACAACAGTTTTTGGTTTAAAAAAAATGGAAAATGTTTGGAACTTTCATTTCTAAGGATCCTTCTCCTACGTGCTTTTGCATTTTACAAATTTTGCAATGAAAAAGCCTATACAATCCTTATTTGCGAGCCACAGCGTGTCTTCTATCCTGGCGTCTCTGAGAGAACCAGTGTCGCTGTCCTGTGACGGCACCACGCAGGGATCGAATCGCTGCAGCCGTTTCAGTTGCTCAGATGACAGGCCAGCTCCCAGCATCCCTTCTCCTCCAACCTGTGGGTCCTGCTCGGGGAGACAAATAAACACAAACATCCTCGCGTCGGGAAGTCTGCCTGTGTACCATTTACGTAAAAGGACAAACTGAGCTGTAACTACCACCAATTCCAGAAACAGAAAAATGAGTAAATACCTTTTATTTTCGTGAAATGGACATGCTGCTTTTCCGGGTAGTAAAGTGGGAGGGTGGTAACATGCAGCCACTTGACGACTGAGTCCCTAGGATGGCCCTTATGCTTATCAAGGCCCACGACATGCAGGAGACCTGGGCTCCACACTTAGAAGCACGTGGATTCACATCACAGCTCTGCCACAGCTTAGCTGTGCGACTTGAGGAAAGTTAACTTACCGTACCTGCTTCCTCATCTACGAAACAGGTGAAATACTCTGATCTGAGGCTTAAATAAGTAGGGTGGTATCGGGCCTGGCATAGGGTGGGCACTTAGCAAGTGGAACATTATTATCAGTTACAGCAGGAGATGAAAACCCAGCTTTATTTGTCAGACGCCCCAGAACTGGCAGGAGTTTCTTGGGCATCTGAAGATGCCTCTCTCTGGCCCACACCTATTGGATGATAAAAGTTCTCTTTTTTTGTTGTTGTTTTTAAATGTACTAGGATATTAAAAGAGACGAGAAAACTAAGGCTGCCTCGATTAGTTTAGAGGAATACAGAATCATAAGGAACTGAGTGATCTGTGCAAACCACTACTACAAAAGATGCATAAGCCTAACTTAAGTCACCATTTCACAAATGCTTGTGTTACTGAAGATATATGTTCTTAGGTTTATATCTGAAAACCTGTTGTTTATTAACCCATGTGTGTGTGGGGGGAGTTCCATCTCTTTTAGGTATATACCGAGTGTATATGTATATACACACACATCAAATTCAAGTGAATTCTCAAGTCTTCTTTTCATCTACAATGCACTTACCTTAATTTCTGAGTCTAGAAACCATCTGTAGATTGCCTTCTGTCTGTATATTCCAATTACTTACTAGAATTCTGTACCGGAACAACTGACATTAGATGTTCAGTTTATCTGAATGAATGTGAGCATTACCACAGATTTAAACCTAATCTCAAACATCATGGGCTAAAAAATCTAGTCATAAATATAGTTTTAATAAAAACCAGAACGGAAAGACAGTGCTAGGTAAAATAAAGTACAAGACACCTTTTGAAATGTTCCCTATCTTATATAAGGATCCAGAAGGAAGCAATAATCCTGAACCATTTCCCCCCTTGGCTAGTCTTCTGATATCCCAGTTATTAAAGCCTCTTTGGGCTTTGGTGTGATATGAGAAAACTGCTCAACATTTGCCCTATCAGAAAAATTATAGGACCGAGGGGTGGAGGAAGGGTTTTAGAAACAAAATTCTGAGTAACACGAACAAGAGCCACAAGTCAAATAAACATGTTGCAGAAAACCCCTGAGCTCTGTGGCATTTTAACACAACCGTAGACCGTGAAGGCCTGGAAAAACTGGGTCAGGACGTGAAAATCCTCTAGCGGCTGTCTGGAACAGCTCTCATTAGAGAACCCTTGTGTACCGCGTCTCTTCACATCACTCTCTGTGTTTATCAACATGCCGAAGTTTCCACGACTTACCGGATCACCCAGAGACAACGGCAATGGCCCTCACCTGGCGCTGAAGCTGAAGCTGAGGAAATGTCTCGAGGGCCCAGGCGACCTGTTCTTCATTCTCTGCTAGGGTGACAGTGCACGTGCTATACACCAGCACGCCCCCCGGCTTCAGCAGCTCCGCTGCCTAAAGACAGGTGTGATTGGATGATGAGTATCGCAAGAGCAAGTGAACGTTTTAAATATAATGTATATAAACAAATATATACATGAAATACAGCTCTAAGTGAAACGATTCTCACAGAACACCTACTGCATGAAGATGCAGAAGACCTCAGACTTCCAGAAGGGCCAGAAAACCTCCACATAACCAGCCAGGACAAAAGAAAAAAGAAAAAAAGAGAGAGAGAGAAAGGAATCAGGACCGGACCTGCGGCCCTGAGAGGGAGCTGTGCAGAAGGAAAGTTTCCTGCAACTGCTGGTATGGGGAGGTGGGGCGCTGGGTGCTGAAGCTTGGGCTTCAGAGACAGTCCTGGGAAAGGACCAGGGTTGGCTGTGTGAAGACACCTTGAAGAGGCTGGAGAATGGCAACTGAGGCTGCACTCAGAAGAAGCCTGGGCCCATGAGAGACGGCAAGGCACCACTGTTGGGGGGAGGGGTGGGAAAACCACAGGAGCGTCTTTCCCTACACACGCTCCAAGGCAACAGGACACAGCCTACACAAGCTCTGGGGGCGGGCACGAGCCGACACCGCCATCATGGGCTCCAGAGGCAGGCACAGGCCACTACCACCACTAAGAGACCCACGAGCGGGCTCCCGTCGCCACCCCCGCTATCCCTGGGAGCACGCGGGCCGCTGCTACCACTGGGAGACATCGAGAGGGTGCCAATGGCTGCCCCAGCCGTACCGGGAGCACACACAGGCCACCGCACCTGCACAGCCCGTATCAAGTGGATAACGGCCAGCACACACTGAGGAGAGAGGCAGCAAGCATCCAGACTAAAAGCAGCCCTTGATTCCGGACAAGATGGCGGAGTAGAGGGACCCGACCTCACCTCCTCTCACAGAAACATCAACATCACACCGAAATGCTGAACCACCATCAACAAAAACAGACCAGAGCCTACCAAAAAAGACAGTTTGCTACAATATATCCACAGACAAAGAAGAAGCCACAACAAGACAGTAGGAGGGACGCTTTCACAATATAAGCAAATCCCATATCTGCCGGGTGGGCAACCCACAAAATGGAAAATAATTACAGCGCAAGGTTCTCCCACAAGAGTTAAAGTTCTGGGCCCCTGGTCAGGCTCCCCAGCCTGAGGGTCTGGCACAAGAGGAGGAACCTCCAGAGCATTTGGCTTTGAAGACCAGCAGGGCTCAAGTGCAGGACCTCCATAGGACAAGGGGAAACAAAGACTCCAGTCTTGGAAGGTACACACAAGATTTCACATGCACTGGGACCCAGTGCAAAGCAGTGACTCCGTAGACACCTGGGCTAGACCTACCTGTGGGTTTTGGAGGGTCTCCTGGAGAGGCACGGGTTGACTGTGGCTCACTATGGGAGCAAGGTCACTGGTGGCAGAGGTCCCAGGGAATACTGATTGGCCTGAGTTCTCCATGAGGTCGCCATTTTGGCACCAAGACCGAGGCCTACCCAACAACCTACAGGCTCCAGTGCTAGAACACCTCAGACCATACAACCAGTGGGACAGGAACACAGCCCCAACCATCAGCAAACAGGCTGCCTAAAGCCATACTGAGCTCACAGCCACATCTAAACACACCACTTGACATGAACCTGCCCACCAGAGGGATGAGACCCAGCTCCACCCACCAGTGGGCAGGCACCTCCCACCAGGAAGCCTGCACAAGCCCCAGGACCAACCTCATCCACCAGGGGGCAGACACCAGGAGCAAGAGGAGCCACAGTCCTGCAGCCTGAGAAACAAGAGACACAAACACATACAGTCAGACAAAATGAGATAGCAGAGAAATATGTTCCAGAAGAAGGAACAAGATAAGAACCAAAAAGAAAAACTAAGTGAAGTGGAGACAGGCAATCTACCTGAGAAAGAATTTACAGTAACAATAGTAGAGATGATCCAAGATCTCGGAAAAAGAATGGAGGCACAGACCAAGAAGACAAGAAGAAATGTTTAACAAAGAGCTACAAGATTTAAAGGACAAACAGAGATGAACAATACAATAACTGCAATGAAAAATACACTAGAAGGAATCAATAACAGAAAAAATGAGGCAGAAGGACAAATAAGTGAGCTGGAAGACAGTGGTAGAAATCACTGCCACAGAACAGAATAAAGAAAAAAGAATGAAAGGAAATTAGGACAATTTCAGAGACCTCTGGGACAACATTAAATGAACCAACGTTCACATTATAGGGGTCTGAGAAGGAGAAGAGAGAGGGAAAGGGCCTGAGAAAATATTTGAAGAGATTATAGCCAAAAACTTCCCTGACGTGAGAAAGGAAACACTCACTCAAGTCCAGGAAGCGCTGAGAGTCCCATACAAGATTAACCCAAGGAGGAACATGCCAAGACACACATTAATCAAACTGACAAAAATTAAAGACAAAGTAAAAATATTAAAAGGAACAAATAACATAGAAAGGAATCCCCATAAGGCTATCACCAGATTTTTCAGCAGAAACTCTGCAGGTCAGAAGGGAGAGGCACAATATATTTAAAGTGATGAAAGGGAAAAACCTACTACAAGAATACTTTACCCAGCAATGCCCTCATTCAGATACAACATTCAGATTTGACGGAGAAATCAAAAGCTTCAGAGACAAGCAAAAGCTAAGGAATTTAGCACCACCAGACCAGCTTTACAACAAATGCTAAAGGAAATTCTCTAGACAGAAAAGAAAAGGCTACAAGTAGAAATAAAAAAATTACAAATGGAAAAGCTCACTGGCAAAGGCAAACTGAAAGTAACGGTAGGAAATCATCCACACACAAATATGATATGAGGAGAGTAGAAATGCAGGATATTGGAAATGTACTGGAAATTAAGAGACCAGCAACTTAAAACAACCTTGTATATATATAAACTGCTATATCAGAACCTCACGGGAACCACAAACCAAAAATCTACAATAGATACACACAAAAAAGAAAAAGCAATCCAAACACAACACGAAAGATAGCCATCAAATCACAAGAGAACAAAAGAGGAAGGGAAGAAAAAAGACCTACAAAAACAAATCCAAAACAACAAAACTGGCAATAAGAACACATTATCGCTAATTACCTTAAATGTAAATGGATTAAATACTCCAACCAAAAGACACAGACTGGCAGAATGGATACAAAAACAAGACTGATATATATGCTGTCTACAAGAGAACCACCTCAGATCTAAGGACATATACAGACTGAAAGTGAGAGGATGGAAAAAGGTATTCCATGTAAATGGAAATCAAAAGAAAGCTGGAGTAGCAATACTTTTTGCTACTTTTGTCATAACAGACAAAATAGACTTTAAAATAAAGACTGTTACAAGAGACAAAGAAGGACACTACATAATGATCAAGGGATCAATCCAAGAAGAAGATATAACTGTAAATATATATGCATCCAACATAGTAGCACCTCAATATATAAGGCAAATGCTAACAGCCATAAAAGGAGAAACTGACAATAACACAATAATAGTGGGGGACTTTAACACCCCACATTCATCAACAGACAGATCATCCAGAAAGAAAATCAATAAACACAGGCCTTAAATGACACATCAGACCAGATGAACTTAATTCACATATATATAGAACATTCTATCCAAAAGCAGCAGAATACACATTCTTCTCAAGTGCACATGGAACATTCTCCAGGATAGATCATATCTTGGGCCACAAATCAAGCCTCAGTAAATTTAAGAAAGTTGAAATCATATCAAGCATGTTTTCCGACAACAACGCTATGAGATTAGAAATCAATTACAGGGAAAAAGCTGTAAGAAACACGAACACATGGAAGCTAAACAATGTGTTACTAAAACATCAATGGGTCACAGAAGAAATCAAAGAGGAAATCAAAAGCTATCTGGAGACAAATAATAATGAAAACATGACGATCCATAACCTACGGGATGCAGCAAAAGCAGTTTTAAGAGGGAAGTTTACAGCAATACAATCTTACCTCAGGAAACAAGAAAAATCTCAAATAAACAACTAACTTTACATCTAAAGCAACTAGAGAAAGAACAAACAAAACCCAAAATGAGCAGAAGGAAAGAAACCATAAAGATCAGAGCAGAAATAAATGAAACAGAGATGAAGAAAACAATAGAAAAGATCAATGAAACTAAAAGCTGGTTCGTGGAAAAGATAAAATTGATACCCTTCAGCCAGACTCATCAAGAAAAAGAGGGAGAGGGCTCAAGTTAATAAAATTAAAAAGGAAAAAGGAAAAGTTACAATGGACACCACAGAAATACAAAGAGTCATAAGAGACTACTATGAACACATATATGCCAATAAAGTGGACAACCTAGAAGAAATGGACAAATTCTTAGAAAGGTACAATTTCCCAAGACTGAACCAGGAAGAAATAGAAAATATGAACAGACCAGTCACAAGTACTGAAATTAAAACTGTGATTAAAAATCTTCCAACAAACAAAAGTCCAGGATCAGACGGCTTCACTGGTGAACCTTAGCAAACGTTTACAGTAGAGTTAACACCTATCCTTCTGAAACTCTTCCAAAAAACTGCAGAGGAAGAAACACTCCCAAACTCATTCTGTGAGGCCACCATCACCCTGACACCAAAATTTGTATGGAGACGCAAATGACCCCGAATAGCAGAAGAAATCTTGAGAAAGAAAAATGGAGCTGGAGGAATCAATCAGACACCCAGACTTCAGAACACGATACAAAGCTACAGTCATCAAAACAGTATGGTACTGGCACAAAAACAGACTCATAGATCAATGGAAGAGGATAGAAAGCCCAGAAATAAACCCCACACCTATGGAAAATTAATCTATGACAAAGGAGGCAAGAATATACTATGGAGAAAACACAGTCTCTTCAATAGTGGTGCTGGGAAAACTGGACAGCTACATGTAAAAGAACGAAATTAGAACATTCTCTAACACCATACACAAAAATAAGCTCAAAATGGATCAAAGACCTAAATGTAAGGCCAGACACTATAAAAC